GCTAAGGAATGGGAGAGGGGCCTGGAGCTACAGAGGGGAAGAGGATAATTCAAAGCAAGATAAGAGTAGAGTTTAGTAATCACGTATCTGTCTCGACAAGCTGAGCCTTTCACGTTAAAAAGCTGTATCTGTTAATACCTGTCTCTGTTATCAACCCCTTACCTAAATTCTTCAAGGCCGTCAGGGGGAGGGCAAAAGTTTCTCCTGACCTGTGATGTTCTCAGCTGACTTTAGTTCTAAACAGTCCACGTGTCAGTGGCGTTTGGGGAAGACTCGTTCTGAACCCCTTCACTGTCGTATTGCTAGGTTAAAGCTGTGCCCGGCTCACAGTAGAGGGGCAATGAGTATTTGTTGAATGAAGTGTAGGGAAAGAAAAATTCTCTGTCCTCTTTGGATCTCTGCCCAAAAATTAAACTGACCTAAGAGAGGTTAACAGAGGAAAAAAGCATACATGTTCTATTAAATTTTTACATGTTACATGGCAGTCATGGAGAAGGAAGTCCCAAAGCAACTAGTCAGGGAGATTTCATATTTTTAGACAAGATAAGTTTGTGAAGAATTGACAAGACAAAGAGGTTTGGGCTTGGGGTAGCCAATTGAAGAAATAACAAGGTTTTTACTTGTGGACTTTCAGCCCTAAATTCCCTCTGGTGATAAGAAGTCCTCCTCTCCTTAGGGTACAGGGCGGGTGCCTGTCCCAGAGGACTTTTATCTCCTGCTTTCAGGGGAGGGGTGGGATGGGTGGGGAGGTCCGAGTGACCTGCCCGCTTCTGCAGTTTTCTCAAACTCTTTTAAGCTTTAGATATTCCATATATGCCTGGGTGCTTTGAGGCAGTGAGTTGGAATGAACGTGGCAAGTCTCCTTTCCTCCCAAGCCCACTTTCTGAAGCCCCTTTCTTGAGTGCTGATGTCACACAAGCTGAAAGCCAGACATTCCCGGCTCCCCTCCTTCACCTGCCCCTGTAAGTCATTCTGCGGCAAGGCCTAACCTTTCTGCTGCCTCTTCCCCTTTATCCCCCTTTCTTCCCCTCCTCCTCGTTCCGACCCTCACCTCTGGCTGGTATTTCCAACCTTTTGACGTGGATCTCACCCACCTTTCCATCCATTCTCAACTGGGTCCCCAGAATAATGGTTCTAATCATATATTTTACAAGATTTTAAAATGCGGCAGAGTCTGCCTTCCTCTAGTAGATAAACTTTGTATTTATTTTCAAGGTGTACAAAGCTCCTCAGTATGGGAAGTTCTTTGCCCCACCTTCTACTTATCGTTCCACATTCATTTCCCTCCATTCCAGCCTCCAGTCCTGCGAGAGGATTTCCAAGTCCTAGAGCACCTTCCCCTCCCCACCACAGGATCTGCCCCATTCAGCAGCCTCCATTTTGCTTCCCTCCAAGCTTCTTTTTAGAGTTTGTATTTTAACTGTTTCTTCTGAAGATGCTGGGACTTCCCCACTGCAGGTACATTTCTTAGCACCTATGAGACCAGTGTGCAGGGTATAGGCAAGAGCGAAGAATGGTTGGCGCATCAAGGAAGCAAATCTCCAAGTTAGCTTTAAGAGGCAAACTGGCCACACGTGTTTTCTTGCAATCCACTCCGTGAGTCCTTACTCTTGAGCAAAGACTCTAACAGTAGGTCTTCCTGGACTTACAGCAGCCACTAGTCCCAGCATAGCCCCCAGACCAGGCATCCCTTTAACAAGGGCACTGGACTTCCTGCTGACAGAAATGAAAAGACAGGCTGTGTTCCTGGGAATATTATTTTAGAGAATTGAAGAGGTGGAGAAGAAACGTTTCTGGCTCTTCACTCAGCTCCATGACAAAGAACTTTCGAACCAAAATGGTTACACTGCTAATAGGCCTTTAACAATGCTTATAATGTTAATAGGAGACGGTGGGCCAAGCGTGGATTCGTCCCTGGGTAACCAGCCTGAGTTAAGTAGGTGAAAAAGTAGTAAACAGAACATGGGCCTCTTTCAGCCTGGGGAGCAAGAACTAGATAAACCAGCTCAGCTAAGTAATTCTACAGTCTCATCGACCATCCAGTAGCCTGCCTAATGCTTTACACCTGGAGGCAATTAAACAGGCCTACAGAGATCAGGGGAAGGAGCTGGGGACTATTAGGGTTTCTCCACTGGACTTCCAAATAGTTTTGCATCACAAAGATACCAGGTGTTCTTTGCATTGGTGACTTACTAGGCAAAATGTAACACTAATAAACAACTGGAAACTACACGCTAAAATACACTGGGCAAATCCCAAAGTCAGCTAAAATTCTACAGGTTAACGTCAAGCTACTTATGTTTAAAAAGTTAATGTTCACTCTTATAATCAAAGCTAATCAGCGAACAAGCTCTTTCTTAGAAAGTGTGGATGGCTCTGAAAAGAGCCTTTGGGGTTGGATGACAGGACGCTTACTTGTCAAGTTTACTTAGAGCTGGTGTACTTGGTGACAGCCTTGGTGCCCTCGGACACGGCGTG